TCTAATTTTTTAGTTTTAGTACAGACGGGGTTTCACCATGTTGGCCAGACTGGTCTTGAACTCCTGACCTTGTGATCCACCCGCCTCAGCCTCCCAAAGTGCTGGGATTACAGGTGTGAGCCACCACATGCGGCCTTTTTCCATTTATTGATAAATAAAATTTTACATATTACAGGGTGCATGTGAATGTGTTTTATATGCACAGTAATTATCAAGCCAGGGTATTTGAGGTATCCACCACCTTGATAATTTATCATTTCTACGTGTTGGGAACATTTCAAGTTCTCTCTTCTAGCAACTTTGAAATATACAATATATTGCTGCTAACAGTGGCCACCCTAGTCTGCTATCAAACACTAGAAGGTGTTTCTTCTAAGTTTATACCCATTCACCAACCTGTCAGTTTTACTGTTTCACAGGTGAGGAAACTCAGGCTGGGAGAGGCTAGGTCATGCGTCCAAGGTCATTGCTGGTGGTACACAGCAGAGGCAGGATTTCAACGCTGGCTTGCTCAACTCCAGAGTGGTGTTTTTCATTTTTCTTTAGAAATAGGGTTTCACTCTGTGAGGCAGTGAGGCTGCAGTACAGTGGCACAATCACAGTTCACTGCAGCCTAGAACTGCTTTGCTCAGGCGATCCTCCCACCTCAGCCTCCTGAGTAGCTGGGACTACAGGTGCATGCCACCACACCTGGCTATTTTTTTTTTTTTTTTCTTTAGAGATAGGGTCTCTGTGTTGGCCAGGCTGATTTCGAACTCCTGGCCTCAAGTAATCCTCCTGCCTTCGCCCCTCAGAGTGCTGGGATCACAGATAGGAGCCACCACACCCAGTCTAGAGTTTGTGCTCCTAACCAGGGATGACACGTTGCAACTTCACTCCTCAGTGTGGCCTGTAGGCCAGCAGCAGCAGCAGCACCTGGGAGCTCGTCAAACTGCAGCATCAGGCCACACCAAGGCCTGAGTCAGAACTGTATTTTCACAGACCCCAAATGATTCTTGTGCACAGTAGTTTGAGAAGCTTTGGGGACCACAGTGTCATTATTTGTTGTTATTATTATTATTATAATTATTATTTTTTTGACAGAGTTTTGTTCTTGTTGCCCATGCTGGAGTGCAACGCTGTGGTCTTGGCCCACTGCAACCTCCGTCTCCCGAGTTCAAGTGATTCTCCTGCCTCAGCCACCCATGTAGCTGGGATTACAGGCACTTGCCACCATGCCCAGCTCATTTTTTAAATTTTTTTTTGTATTTTAAGTAGAGACGGGGCTTCACCATATTGGCCAGGCTGGTCTTGAATTCCTGACTGCAGGTGATCCGCCCGTGTTGGCCTCCCAAACTGCTGGGATTACAGGCGTGAGCCCCCACGCCCAGCCTTGTTGGTTTTTAACAATTCTTTCCCATGCAGGTTGCAGCTGAACAGCCAAGTCCCCTCCTTGGGCCATATACTTTTCTGAAAACATTAGAATGTGTCAAAAAACACAAAGGAGTCCAGTGGCCTGGGCTAATTACCTAGCAGAACATCCCATGGTTTGGTGATTCTGAAATATCGCTGCCAAACCAGCACTTGTCGAGGCTCAAACAAGGCCATAAAACATGGCAATGTGGGCACACTTTCACTCTGAGAAATGAAAATCTGATGGTACTTTGAATTATAGTGGATCAAGATTAATTCCAGGCTCTACTTAGAGGAAGCTTTCAGGCCGAGTGGTTTAGACATAAAAGTAGTTTGCCCTAACGCACCACGTGAAAGCTGTGACAACTCCATTGCTTGGTGCCAATTACATTTATGGGTTTGTCCCCAGGAGTGCTAGGAAATGGTCACCATTAGTGCTGACGTACTGCCAGCTGGGGGCTCTGTCTAGTGGGTTCTGATGTGAAGACTCATTATTAATATTCCCCTTCGTGATCTGCAACTCTGCTCCATTATGGCAAGTCTATCAGGAAGGGGGTTTGTGCAGGAATTTTAGAAAACAGCAATAGGCTGGGGCAATAGGGTTATGTGGTAGGCCCCAGAGCTTCCCAAACTACTATTCAAACACATCACCTGGTGTCCTGTCAAGATGCAGATTCGGAATCAGGTAGGTCCTGGGCTGAGGCCTGGTGCTTTCTTCCTTTTTTGGAGATAGGATCTCTCTCTCTGTTGCTCAGGCCAGAGGGCAATGGTGCAGACATGGCTCACTGTAGCTTCAAATTCTTAGGCTCAAGCAAACCTCTCATCTTGCCTCCTGAGCAGCTGGGAGTACAGGTGTGTGCCACTATGCCTGGCACTTTTTTTTTTTTTTTGGGGAGGGAGTTTTGCTCTTGTTGCCCAGGCTAGAGTGTAATGGCATGATCTCGGCTCACTGCAACCTCTGCCTCCCAGTTCAAGTGATTCTCCTGCCTTAGTCTCTCAAGTAGATGGGATTATAGGCAGGCACCATCACACCCAGCTGATACTGCATTTTTTTTTTTTTTTTTTTTTTTAGACAGAGTCTTGCTCTGTCACCAGGTGCCAGGCTGGAGTGCAGTGGCGCAATCTCAGCTCACTGCAGCCTCCACCTCCGGGGTTCAAGCAATTCTCCTGCCTCAGCCTCCCGAGTAGCTGGGACCACAGGCACATGCCACCACGCCCAGCTAATTTTTGTATTTTTTTTAGTAGAGACGGGGTTTCACCATGGTCTCAATCTCTTGACCTCGTGATCCGCCCGACTAGGCCTCCCAAAGTGCTGGGATTACAGGCGTGAGCCACTGCGCCTGGTGATACTGCATTTTTAGTACAGGCAAGGTTTCAACATATTGGCCAGCCTGGTCTTGAACTCCTGACTTCAGGTGATCCACCTGCCTCAGCCTCCCAAAGTGCTGGGATTACAGGCGTCAGCCACCATGCCCAGACGCTTATCTGGCTTTTTATTTTTTATTTATTTATTTATTTTTAGGCAGTCTTGCTCTGTCACCCAGGCTGGACTGCAGTGGCACGATCTTGGCTCACTGCAACGTTCGTCTCCCAGCTTTAAGCAATTCTCCTGCCTCAGCCTCCCAAGTAGGTGGATTACAGGCACACACCACCATGCAAAGCTAATTGGCTAATTTTTGGTAGAGATGGGGTCTTGCTGTATTGTCCAGACAGATTGAACTCCTGGCCTCAATTGATCCCCTGCCTTGGCCTCCCAAAGTATTAGGATTGCAGGAGTGAGCCAACATGCCCAGTCTCATGTTGCATTTCTAACAAGCATGCAGGTGCCACCACAGACGCTGCTCCTGGTCCAGGGACTACACAGTGGGAATGTGGGAAAAGCATGGGCCTAGGAGTCAGATGGACATGGGTGGACATGGGCTTTCAACCTGACTTATCCGTTGGTGGCTGTGTGATGTTGGGCAAGTTGCTTAACCTCTCTGAATTTTGGATTTCTCATATATAAAAAGGGATCACTTCTGCCTTGTAGGTTCTTTGGAAGCTTTATGGTAACATACATGTATAGGTTTTCTTCTTGCTCCCAGAGGGGCAGGGTGAGGGTCACCTGCATGCTCTGCAATACAGGTTCAGCTGAGGCCCGTTTTTCTTCCTTGAAGTAGCTGGCTTTCTTCTTCCAAGTCAGGATTTCTCTGCCATGGCACCAGTCACATTTTGGGCTGGATCATTTTGTGTTGTGGGTGCTGTTCTGTGCCTTACCGCATTATAGGAAGTTGAGCAGCATCCCTGGCCTCACCCACTGGATACGGGTGGCACCCATCTCTCCTACTTGTGACCACCAAATGTGTCTCCAGGCATTGCCAAGTGTTCCTGGAGGCAAAATCACTCACATATAGGAAGTAATGCCCTGATTAGTAGCTTACATTAGTAAATCATTCAGCAACATATGCTCAGCGTCGAATGTTTGCCAAACCATACACCAGGGATGTAGTGATATTTAAGACAAACAAGGTCTCTGACCTCATGGAGACTTCTTCCTGCATGGACCTCAGTCTTCTCTAGTGTAACGTGGGTATAACGAGGCTGCGGACCTCCTAAATTTGTTGGGAAGATGAAATCAAGTTAGACTTGCAAGTGCCTGGCCCTTGACGTCTGGGATTCGCACATGCCAGGGGTATGATGGGCCCTGGGGACGAAACCTGGGTGCTTGGGACAGCGTGGGCAGAGACGGTGCATGGAGAAGCCAGGAAACCTGAGCTGCGAGGGAAGGTGGAATGGCGCCGGGCCAGGTCCTGGTGCAGAACGCGGCAGGAGCAAGGCAGGGGGAAGGGGCTGCAGGAAGGCCAAGGGTAGCAGGAAGATGGAACCAAAACTGGAGAGAAGGAGAAAGACAGCAGGACATAGAGGATGACAGGAAGGGGTGTGGATGGGAGGAGACAGTCACAGGTGGAGAAGATAAAAACCAGACAGACACATGCACATGTGATTTAAGACGGAAGGAGGGAAAATGAGCGCAGGCTGAAGGGAACACCTCTGAGGAAGATCACTGCCCAAACCCCAGTCGGCTGCATGTGACCCCAAAGAATGGCTCTTAGGCTTATTCTAAACATACCTGATTTGGGTTATAAAGAGTTAAAATGATATACAAAGGCCAATGCCAGTCTACACCTGGCACCAGCTCCTGCCCCTTCCTCTCCTCCTGGGGCCCTCACTGGAGGGATGGGGCGGAGCATACCCAACACCGGGAGGAAGTGAGGCTTTTGTGCCGAGAGGTGATATGATGGCAACTGTGGAAATGGTAGTTAACCCATCTGTAAACAGCGGCAGAGGGCAGTACAAGAATCTACCTCACAGCCAGGGCCACAACCCCAAGTGAAGGGCAGAGATGAAATGACTGAGTTGGGTGGAAATGAGCTGAGAACCAACCTTGCTCAGCCTGACCCTGGAGCCCACATTACAAGGATGAGAAACAGATAACTAAGGGGACCCCCAGCCCACAGCAACAACCTTCTCTGGCTTCGACTGGGAGGCAGGGACACACCCTAGAAAACCATCTTGGATCGTCTAAGGTCCATGTAACCATATTTTAAAAATGACAAATCTCAAGCACGTTGCTTTGGTGAGCTTCTGATTTTAATAGAAATCTACCATAAGAACAGTCAAGATGCCGTGCCTTGTGGAGGCAATGGGTCATGTTACTGGTTCTGCAACAATCTTCCAGAGCTCCTGCAGCAAACAGAAAAGAACAGGTTCCTGACATGCACGTACAAAACCATGGCAATTTCATGAAGGAACGTGATCAGCTAAGCAGAGTAGTTGGACAACATGCCAGCCACGGAGCAGGTGAGCTGGGGCAGGAGTGGGCCGGCGGCTTCCTCCTTTCTTTGTTGCTCTGGGCTGTTGCTTGACTGCGGCAGAGAGGCTAGATGGACGAAGTTCCGGGATTAACAGAAGCAGCATCGGAGGATGTCACACAGTCAAGAGACCAGAACGGTAGTGAGTTGCCACAATCTCTCCATTTTGGGGGAGATCTTTATATACAGTTTTACTTTAGAGACGGGAACTCACACTGTTGCCCAGGCTGAAGCGCAGTGGCACGCACCATTATAGCTCGTTGCAGCCTTGAACTTCTGAACTCATGCAATCCTCACACCTCAGCATCCAGAGTAGCTGGGACCACAGGTGTGCACCACCATGCCTAGCTAATTTTTTTTTTTTTTTTAATTTTTGAAGAGATGGGATCTATGTTGCCCAGGCTGGTCTCGAACTCCTGGCCTCCGGCAACCCTCCGACCTCAGCCTCCCAGAGTGCTGGGATTATAGGTGGGAACCACCACATCTGGCCTTTTTGGGACGTCTTAGGCATCATGTACTGGGGCTGCTGATTTGTAAGAAGTGTGTGTTCTTGCTCATGTGATACTACTCTTACTGCTGCCCAGAAGCGGCAGAGCAATAAATACAAGATCCCCCTCACACACAAAACCACACGAATTCCATGCTGCCCTTGCTCAGGACACGAGGCAGAGCACCAGGGTGGCAGCCCCTCACGACTCCCTTCCTCCCTTTTTCCTTAGAACTAGGCCTGAGTCTCTGAAGACACAGAGAAAGGAAGGCCACAGGCAAAAGGCAAACAGAAAAAAAGAAGTTAATTCTCAATCTTTGCACTCCAGTAACAGAAAAGCCTGTTCAGACCAAGAGGCTGGTATACATCCACACTGAAGATGTGACCAGCACCTACCACAGCAGGGCCCCTGCACCAAGATCTGGAGCCCACCAACTTCCTCTCCACCGACTTTCTGTTCCCCAAACAACCTCTGCCTCAGTCTTGCCTCCCCTGGAGTCTGAGCTGCCCACGGGGGAAAGTGTGCTATGAAGAAGAAAGTTAAGGTTCGCCCATAGGCCCACCTTCAGGCACGGTGGCTGCTAAGAACAGAACGCAGCTCCTTCAACCGGTTCCACTACAGACGGTGCCCGGCATGCAGGCTTCATTCACACCCTGCAGGACCTAGGGTGGGGCCTAAGCTTGGAGGGTTTGCTTCATCACCTCCTTTGCCCAGGAGTCACCTGCTTCACTATAAAGCAACCAACAGCCCTGCTTAGGGGGCCCAGACCTACCAGCTGCCGGATGCGCTCGTACACCAGGAGCTGCGGGAAGGAGGCCTCTACGGGCTCCACCACGAAGTGCAGGTTGCCGTCCCTGAGCTGCTCCAGGGCACGCAGGCAGGAGCGGAAGTGATCGTACGCTTCACACGTGACGTCCAAGTGTCTCAGTGTGAAGTTGAGCCTGCAAACCAGCCAGCCAACACACAAACTGTTGTCATCACCGGGAAGGGTTTTGCTGTTTCTGCCCATGTGTCTTTCCTGTCCCTCACTGATCTCATATCCCCTGGATGGACTTTTACTGAGTGCCTGTCTCATGCTGCATGTTTGAGGGCAATTCCTTCCTACAGCTGCATAATAGCCTGGGAGGTGGAAACGGCTCGCCCTTTATAGATGTGGAAATTGAGGCTCACAACGCTGAAGTCATGTATCCACAATGACGTCACGGGAAAGATAAAGATAAAGCTCCTCTGAGGAGCTAGGACTGGTGTAAGAGGCAGATGGTGTAAGATTCACACTTGAGGACAGCTCTCCATGTCCTGGCTGCACCCAGCACAGAATCCAGTGCCTGGAGCTGTTGTGTAATTATTTGTGAAATGAATGAATGAGAGGCGTGGCAGTGGGCAGTACAGACAACTCTGAGAGCACAGAGAACAGAGATAAAACTGCCAGACAGTTGGCTGTCTGAGAGATTTCAGAGATCGAGTGCCTTCAGAAACAGGCCTCCCAACCCTGCCACCTACCTTTCGAAATCTCAGTCTACAAGAAGACTTAACTTCAAATTCAAGCTCTTTCACTTTTTCTTTACAAAATTTTTTATTAAGAAAAATTTCAGCCATGTAAAAGGAGTAAGAACAGTCTATGCTGGGCGCGACGGCTCCTGCCTGTAATCCCAGCACTGACAGAGGCTGAGGCAGGCAGATCATCTGAGGTCAGGAGTTTGAGACCAGCCTGGCCAACATGGTGAAACCCTGTCTCTACTTAAAATACAAAAATTAGCCAGGCATGGCAGCACACACCTGTAATCCCAGCTACTCGGGAGGCTGAGGCAGGAGAGTTGCTTGAACCTGGAAGGCAGAGCCTGCGGTGAGCTGAGATTGCGCCACTGCACTCCAACCTGGGCAACAAAGTGAGACTCCGCATCCGAAAAGAAAAAAAGAACAGTCTAATGAACCCATTCCCAGCTTCAGCCACTGTCCACTTTCAGCCACTCTGCCACCTTGGCTCTTCCCGGGTCCCCCTCCCTCCACTGAATTATTAAACAGCAAATGCCAGACATCATCCCATTTCCTTTATGAAGTTGCAAATGTCAGCATGTGTCTCAAAAAGATGGAGACCTTTTCAACTAAAGTTTAACAATAATCCTTTTACATCAAATATTCAGTATCCAACTTTTCCCAACTGTCCGATGTTTTTCCTTTACAGTTTATAAAATCAGGATCCAAATGAGGTCTGTACATTGCTATGACTCAATGTGTGCCTCAAAGCAAGCGCTCGGTATTACTGGTATAAACAATACTGCAATAAATGTGCAAGTACATACAGTTTTGTACATAACCATGAGCATTTCCACAGGGTGAATTTCCACATGCTGAACTGCTGGGTGAAGAAGTCTCTTTAGTTTCACAGCTTTTGCTATGGATTACAAACTATCTTCAGAAAAGCTGTGGACTACTCTCAGGTATTAGAGGAAAATGTGTGTAGCTATCACAAGGTGGGCACTCAATAAACGGAACCAAACATTTTAGGATATTCAAGTGGAAATGTCTTGGAGAGGCTGTTGGGTGAAGAGCTGTCTGCATCAGTAAGAGAAGGAGACCTGGGGGAGCTGAAGAGGCAGACGGCACCACAAAGAGCGAGAACATTCAGGAAGAGAAGCTCTAGACAGTGTGCTGGCCAAGCGCTGAGGCTCAGTGCAGTCGGCATTCAAGTGATGGTCTATCGCTAACTAGCTGTGCCCTGGGCAAGGGCCCTGATGTTTCCCAGCCTTCCTCTCTTCATCTGTAAAGGGACAGCATGCTAGCACACAGGGCTAGCATGCAGAGTCAGTGAGGTAACGGACACAGAGGAGGAGCACAGGCATGTCACACAGTAGGTGCTCAAAAGTAGCATTGAGTAACAGGCCTGGCACACAGTAGGTGCTCAAGAAGTGGCAATGAGTAACAATCATGAGGACACTGAGAAGGACGCAATTAGGAGGTGAGAGTTCCGCTGATACACGGGACGCCAGCGCGGTCCCCATGACGCAAAGCTCACCTCTTCTCCACCGACAGGATGGCTGTGCAGGCATTTTTCAATCTATGGGCAAGTCGGGAGAGTGTTTTAAACACAGCATCCGTCAAGTTGTTGTCGTAAAACACTGTGGGAAGCAAAACGGCCAGCATTAGGGGAAAACATGCAAATATTAGAGAAATCGACTTTTCAGGGAGATACACACACAGAGAAAATGCTTCTCACCGCCCAACAGCAGCAGCTCCAAGAATGCAAACCGCACACAGACATGGTGGCATGTCCCGGAAAGTCTCTTATAAAACTGAACTCGGGGGGAGGTGAAGAGACTGTACTTGACTTCATGCTGTGACAAAGGCCATGTAAGGCGAAGGAGAAATTTTCTTACCTTCGGCTGCCAAGATGATGGTGGTGTGATTGTACAAGTCAGAAATTTCCTCTTGTGACCAACTGAAGGGGACCTCAGGATCTGACAAAGAAGAAAAGCACATTTTGTGTCCATCGCTTTCTCTCCTGGCCACCAGCTCTCACTGGGACTGACAAAAAGTCCCTTCAGGAGAAGAAACAGGGCTGGGGGTAGCTCAGTGCGGTGGGAACCGTCAGGCAGACAGGATTCCCTGCTTCAGGCCACCGCTGCCTGGGTGCAGAATAATGGTGGAGGAGATGCCTTTTCTGCTGAGTGTCCACTCTGGCCAGTGAGCAGCAGGTGGATTTCAGCCTCACCTGCTGCCTTGGCCTGTCGCCCAGTGCAGGACCTAATCTGCCCCATCTGCCTGCTGGGTGGCCAAGGAAAACAGCTTCAGTTTCGCCCTTACAGAAAGAGCACAGTACTACTTCCGTCACAGGTCTACTGGGAGGGCCGAAGGGCCTGTGATGGGCAAAGTGCTAGGCAGGTGACCGGTACTCAAGAAATGACTTTCCCCAGCTGCCATCTGACAGGGGAAAAAAAAGACATCTTTATATAAAGAAAGAGCAAGCACCCAGGTCTGAAGTACCCTGTGCAAGAAATACGGGAAATTCTCTTACCCTGGGGGCTTCCCGGAACTGCCGTTTGCTGGGAAACGGTCCGTGCCCCAGAGTCTGACAAACTCAGGTCCATGCCCCTACGCTGCTGCGTACCAGCTGTGCCCGTGGGTAGTCTGCACTCACGATTCAGGGACTATCATGCTACCATACAGAAAAACCACAAGACCTGAAGATCAAAGTGAATATGAGGTTCCCAGCATGCAGCAGGCGCGCAGAGAATGACAGCTGATGCCATCGGCCAGTGGAGAGAACCTGCCACACACTGGTGGGACGGTGGTAGCAGGTGGGGCTGCAGCTCCATCAAGGCCACAGAGCCGGGACTGAGGTATTACAAAGGAATCACTAACTCATACTGGGGGAAGCCAGAGGGAAACACACCTGTGCAGAGGTCGTCCTTCAGCCAGTCCAGTTCTTTGACCTTAACTACACCACCTGTAAAAACAACACAAAGAGAACCCTCCAAACTCTAAACATAATTAGGAAAAAAGACAAACTTTTACACTATATACCAAGATCCATCTATCCACCCACCCACCTTTTCTCTCATCCATCTTCCCACCCATCCATTTACCCACCCGCCCATCTTCCTGCCCTTCCATCTATCCATCTAACCATCCATCCATCCATCCATCCATCCATCTGTCCATCTTCCTGTCTTTCCACCCATCCATCCATCCATCTTCCTGCCCTTCCATCTATCCATCTGTCCATCTTCCTGCCCATCTATCTTCCTACTCTTCCATCTATCCATCCATCCATCGTCCATCTTCCTGCCCTTCCATCTATCCACCCACCCATCCATCCATCCATCCATCCATCCATCCATCCATCCATCCATCCATCTGTCCGTCTGCCCATCTTCCTGTCCTTCCATCTATTCATCCATATACCCACCCATCTTCCTTCCCTCTTTCCTTCCTTCCCATCCATCTTCCCACCCACCCACCGTCTCATCTACCCATCTTTCTAGCCTTTACCCTCTCACCCATCCACCTGCCCATCCTTGTTATCCTCCCTCCTTCCTTCTCATCCATCATCTACCCTCTGTCCCTTCCCTCCATTCATCTGTCCATCCTTCCAGCATTTTTTGAGTGCTAAGTGTCAAGGACTATGCCAGACACAGAAAAAATAAAGATTTAAGAGCCATGCTCCCCATCCTTATGGACCAGCTCCCCTAGGGAAGACTGGAGGGTTAACTGACAATGGCAAGACTGTGTGGCTGGGTGATGTCTGCAGGATGAGGCCAATGCACAGGAGGACAGAGAGGAAATCGTGTCAGACAGTGAGTGTCAGGGAAGGCGTCCACCAGCATGCTCCCTCTCTCCTCCCAATCTCTGCTGACTGCCTACTGTACCCTGAGCACTCAACAAATATTGTGACAGTGGAGAGCAAACACAGATGGGGCACCTGCACCAACATGTAGTCTGGTGGGAATGGAAAACACCATCAGTCACACAAGCAGAAGTTAAAACGCAATTGTGTAAGGTGTTCCTGGAGTCTGCTGGGGGCCCTGGCCTCAAATCTGGAGGTCTGGAGCCCTGAGCATGATGAGGACTTGCCGGGAGGAGGAGGGAGGGCAGAGCACTCAGGGGCAGGGAAGAGCAAAGGCAGAGGACTTGAAGGAAAGTGATCTGAAAGATGGTGAGGATGGCTGGGCGGGGGAGGCTGTAGATAGGCAGGGGTCAGATCCCCCAGAAGACGAGACGAGCAACGGGAAACCACTGAAGCGCCTGAAGCCTGTGAGGCTGCTCGGAGGAAGAAAGGCTGGATGGACAGCCCAGTTAGGACATAACTGTCGTCACCCATCACATACACTCATTCCTGCAGGCCGTGCAGGGAGCAGATGACCAGGCAGATGGGGGTGGGGGTCCATCCGGGCAGAGGGACGAGCCTGTGAAGTGAGTGACCTCTGGCCGTGCTGGATGCAGGGCTTGGACAGGAGACAGGAAAAGGCAGGGAGAGCAGGTGGGGGCTGGGCCAGGGAGGTCTGGGAATTCCATGGGTGATGACGCCCTGGAAGGTTTTCAGCAGGAAGAGGAGACAGGCTTGCATCTGAGAAAGGTCACTCTGGATGTTACATGAGGACAGCTTCCCCAGGTCCAAAAAGAAGCTGGGGAAACTAGCTGGGGGGCCTTCTTCCAGTGTCCGGGAGAGAAAGAGCTGGAACAGGATGATGCGGTGAATGTGGGAATGAGGAGGTGACTCAAGGAGAGCCTTCGATGCTCTGAAGCTCTGTGAAGCCCAGATGATGTCTGCTCCCTTTACTCACCTGGTACAAGGGACACAGGTGGAGCCCTGCCTCCCAATGTCATGGTCTTGGGTGTCTGTCCACCTGCCAGAGAAACCTCCCTCCCCGGCAGAAGACCCTGTGGGCCTTACCTCCAGTGGCAGCCAGGTGGCTGTTGAGGGCAATGTTTCGCTGGCACATGGCCAAGAGATCTGCACCGACATCTGGAATGACAGAGGGCAAGCCATAAAGCGCCGGCCGTTATGATGCTTTTATCTCCACGGTTTTGCCTGGAGAGAACTGTTGTCAATAGCACAACTGCAGAAATTAGAGAAACGTTTCTCCTGTGTGTCTTACTGCCAAAATTAAATACGCTCACCTTAAGGCTCTTTTCATTGGCTCGTTCCCTAAATAAGAGATTCTCATCCTGATGGGGAGAGACAGTGTGCATTCTAGAGGGAAGGCGTGTGAGCTCTCAACATCATCCCAGCGTATAAACCACGCATGCATTTTCCCTGCTTCATCCTTTTCATTTTTATAACCACACAGGAGCCAGGATCATGAATCCCATTTCACAGATTAAGTGACTTGAGCAAAGTCATATAGCTAGTAAGAGCAAGAGCTGGGATTTGAATCCAGGTTTTTCTAACTTCAAATTTAGGCTCGTTTGTGGACACCCTAGGAAAACTGACTGGACCAGTTTTCTGGTCAGAAAGATGTTTTCTTATGATTCATCAGGACACAGAGCAGATTCAAAGAGGCTGAGCCCCCTCTCGAGTGTGACTCACTTTGCTGCTGCGCAGATCTCCCTCCCAGCTGCATGCTACTCTGATGAGTGGGATTTCTCATCATTTCAAGAACTGACTTATAGTACAGTGAATCCTCACTGGGGGAAGCAGTGCTTTACCAAAAATAAATTTCTAATTAGAAAAATGTGTGTGTAGGAAGTACAGGATGTCTTGTTAATGGCATTTGCTTGGTCCACTGTCGGCGTGGACTCCCCCATCAACTGTAAACTCGCTGGGACTAGAGTCTGCACCCCAGGGGTCACACAGAGCCATGTAGAGAGCAGCTCCCTGCTCGCAGAAGGGAAGGATCTACCGTCTCCTAGGTCAAGAGAATATTGATGGTGTGTGCCCGACAGCACACGATGGGCTCGGCAGTTTTTTTTTTCTTTGATTATTTTTTTTTGAAATGGAGTTTTGCTCTTGTTGCCAAAGCTGGAGTAGAGTGGTGGGATCTTGGCTCACTGCAACCTCCGCCTTCTGGGTTCAGGCAATTCTCCTGCCTCAGCCTCCCAAGTAGCTGGGATTACAGGCTTGAGCCACCGCGCCCGGCCCTTTTTTTTTTTTTTTAAAGTACAGATGGGGTTTCACCATGTTGGCCAAGCTGGTTTCGAACTCCTGACCTCAGGTGACCCACCAGCCTCCGCTTCTCAAACTGCTGGGATTACAAGTGTGAGCCACCGTGCCTGGCCAGGCTCAGCAGTTTTTAAACCTTTATGATAGTTTCTGTCAGAAGCTTCTAACACGTAAAACAGGTAAGAGAGGAGCAGCTCTGGCTGAGTGGGGCAGGAGCCCCAGTGTCCTGAGTGCAGTTTCCCCAGCAACACTTGGCCGGTTCACGGGAGCTCTGCTCCATGAAACAGAATCTGAAATCCCACCACCTGAAAAGGGCACTGCCCTGTGAGCCCACAGGTCCACATTGAGAGCCTCAGTCTCATCAGCAACTGTGGATGACCTTGGGCCAGCAGTTTAACCTTAGCCTCAGTCTGCCCATTTGGACAACAGAGATAGGAACAGGCTTCCTGGCTCTGCCCAGGGTCACTGTGAAGTGACAGCCAGGCACTGATGCATCTGAAAGGACTTTTCCAACCGGAACATGGCATCTTAATGCAAGCTTTCTTCCCCATGCTGCTAAATCTCTCTCAGGGATGAGTTCTTTATATCCTGCTATTAGGTACCAGGCATGAAGCAAAGCTCTTGGATGGCTTGGCGCTGAGAAGTGCTCACTGACAATTTACACGACATTGTCAAGAAGCAGCCAATAGCATGGCTGCACTGTGGACTCCTGACCAGTGGTTAATTTGGTATATTTGAAAACTGCCTCAGGGACTGGTGAGCTCCAGCTTCTTCCTTCCTATCTCAGAAACAACAGTCTGTGTCAGAAACATTCACTAGGAAGCAACGAGGTATAAACCACGTCAGCTGGTGCCTCTTTCTGTCCAGCAGATATTAAAGATTTAAAATAGATGGCATGGTACAGATCACTGTACCATGGTTGTGTGCGATGTCACTATTGGGGAGCCAGAGGAAGGGGACATGGCACTTGCTGGATTACTTTAACAACTCCTCTATGAGTCTGAAATTATTTCAAAATTAAGTACTAAAAAAGAAATTAGTTGGTAATGTGTATCAAAAGCTTTAATAGTCTCACCCACTTCTAGAAACCTAGGCAACAGGTTATTAGACAATACACAAAGATGTTCACTGCAGTGTAACTAACACCACCCACTTCTAGGAACCTACTTGACAGATTATTAGACAATATACAAAGATGTTCATTACAGTCTAACTGACAAACAGAAATAGAAACCCTACAGGAATGGCCAAAATACTCAGCAATAGAAGGGTTACAAAAAAGATGAAATATTACCTGGTCATTAAAAGAGACACACACATACACACTTTTTTCCTTTTGAGACAGTCTTGCTCTGTTGACCGGGCTGGAGTGCAGTAGCGTAGGCTCAGCTCACTGCAACCTCCGCTTCTGGGTTCAAGCCTCCCAGCAGCTGGGATTACAGGCGCCTGCCACCACCATGCCTGACTAATTTTTGGATTTTTAGTAGGGACAGGGTTTCACCGTGTTGGCCAGGGTGTCTCAAACTCCTGACCTCAGGTGATCTACCCGCCTCGGCCTCCCAAAGTGCTGGGATTGCAGCTATGAGCCACTGCACCTGGCCTATATAGCAACTTTTTAATGACATGAGAAAATGCTCTTAAAATGTTCTCACATATGAGTGGGAGCTAAACAATGAGTATACACAGACATACTGAGTGGACTCACAGACACTGGGGACTCCAGAAGCTGGCAGGGTGGGAAGGGTGGGGGGTTAAAACTTCCCTGTTGGGTACAGGGTTCAGTATGTGAGTGATGAGTCCACTAAAAGCCCAGATGTCATCACTGTAATATAGCTGCACATAAGAAATCTGTACTTGTACCCCCTAAATATATAAAAATTTAAAAAAGAAAATGCTCGTAAAAAATATTTCTCAACATTTTCAGGATACAGTGTTGCTGTAGTTTGATTTTGGCTATTATTTGGAGGACATTCTTACAACATAACTGCCCTGAGGGCAGTGCCCGGTCAACTCCATTCACTGCCAGGCCTCCTGCATCTAGAATTGTGTAGCACATAGGAGGTGCCCAATAAATTCTATATTGCTGACTCAATCTAGTGATTGTAAAATTATGACTAATTTTTATTTGCTGTTTTGAAAATCGACAAAGAACAGGCAAGACTTCTATAACCAGGAAAAAAAATAATAAACTTGTTTTTAAAGCCTTCTAAAAGGGCGTATTCCTTCTGTTTTGGGAGATATTTGCTCTTTCTCAGGAGTGGGGAAAGAGGTACCAGTAGGGGTGCAAGACACCTCCTAAGGCTCAATGGCCTTAGAGTGGTTGGGTGATGTTGCTGCCACTGACTCAAGATTGGTGGGTCATTCTGATGTCACTGAGAAGAAATGGAGAGTGAAGAGGGCCAGGGGACCAGGATGGCAAAATCAACAGCAGCTAACAGCCAGTTTCCTGTACCTCTGACTTTTCATACAGTCAATGCACACTTTGTGAAGGTGGCTACTTCCCCGCAGCCTGAGATGTCACCTCGTTACCTGTACAATAAACGGTCCGTGCCATAGTGGCCGCAATGATGCTAGCGAACCCGGTGCCTGCCCCGAGCTCCAGCGCCGTGCATCCTCGGAAGAGGTCCTGTCGGAACAGGATGTAGTCCGCCAGGAGAAGGGCGCCCCGCCACACCTGGAGGGAGGAGGACAAGGAGTGACAAGCAGCATGAGGCTCTGCGGAGACCCGTCAGGGCCACAGGAAGTGGACGGGACCTACCCACCTGCTTGCCAACATCCTCCAGGGGCGTGGCCATGGTGTGCTCTGGATGAGACAGAAACCAAGAGAAATACCCACTGTGAAACGGGGATGGACAGAAAACCACAAGCCAGGGCTGTGCGGCAACCCGCCAGCATGGTCAGATGGGTGTCAGAGGCTGGAATTAGGGGGTCTAGAGAGCAGCAGAAACACAGGCTGTGCTACCAGTTGCGAGGTGACTTTCGAGCGCCACTCAGAGGCCAGAAGCTGGGGCTCACACTTTTTCCTGTACCTGGGTATCTCCGCCCACAGCCCAAGGCTAGGGAGGGTCTCAGGTTTTCACCCAATTTAATTACACACACATGCAGTGCACTACTTTTTCAATGGCCAAGAATTGCAAATTTATAATCATTATGTTTATTTATATACTACTAACAATCACAACTCATTCAAAAGTATTTTCTTAGAAGCATACTTAACTTCATTATTGTCTTAGAAATATAGTTAACTTCTACATTAGAAGTTAACAAACTAAGTTTAAATTTACATCCTTTTTTAAAAAGGTGAAAGAAGTATGATAAGTTAGCATAGTAAGTATTCTCAAGTGTAAAATACATTAGGATCAAATTCTGGTGGTTGGAAGAAGATAATGGAAAAAGATCAAGAAAAGGAATGAAGCAAAACATTTTTTGCTGTTAAATAAGAACCTGCTCATCTAAGAGCTCCCGGTGGGGGGAAAATAACTTGCTCAAGTATTTTTAAGTGAGACAGTAATGGCTATAGCCAACTGCTCTGTCTGTCACCAAACCAAGAGAGAAAATGACTGTGCGGGGTCCTCTTGGGCACCTGGGCCAATGTCCTCTGAGGACTCCTCCTGGGAAAATTGGGCCAAAGATTTCAGCCCTATGTGCAGAGTTAGAATCTTATCTCTGAATAAAGTGACTAATGCATCATCCACCAGCAACTTGGCTAGATGTGACATGGTGGCTTCGAAGGCACTTTTAATAAAACATGTTTTCAGAAGGGCTTCAGGTTGCTGTGGCCTAACACGTAGTCACCTGGTTTGAAACTGGATCAGAAATATACCCGCCGAGCCATGTGACGCCAAGTTCCTTCACTGAACCAGCATTCACTAGACACATTCTGAGGCAGGCCTGCGTGCCACTGGGATTCTACTTGACTGGCTCACACGTATTTTACAGATGAAGACACTGACTGGAGCTCAGCATTACTGTTTGTAAAGTTAATAGAAACAAAAAGCACCTTCTCTACGTGAGGCATTGGGCTAAAAACTGTCACTTAATCCACGAAATTGCCCAATGACAGGTTGGGGTGTTGTGTTAAAGATGAGGAAAATGTGGCGGTGAAGGTCAGCAGGTTGTGTGGGTCACAGAGGGGGTGAGTGGCAGACGCGGGGTTCCAAGTCAGGTTGTCTGCAGTTTTCTGGCTCTTTTTGACAGGGTCTTGCTCTGTCACCAGGCTGGAGTGTGGTGGCATGGCCAAGGCTCACTGTAGCCTCCACCTCCCAGGTTCAAGTGATCCTGCCACCTGAGCCTCCCGAGTAGCTGGGGCTACAGGTGTGTGCCTCCAGGCCAGGCTAAATTTTTTTAGTTTAATAGTTCTTGTAGAGATAGGGTCTCAGGATGTGGCCAGGGCTGGTCACAAACCCCTGGGCTCGAGTGATCCACTGTTTTGGTCCCCCAAAGTGGAATCACAGGTGTGCGCCACTGTGCACAGCCTTTTCTGGCTCTTCAGCCCGCTTGCAGAAGGGAGATACAGAATCTGAACTAGGCCAAGGACATGGTTTAAAAAGCTTGGGGCAGAGCCTCCCAGGATGAAAGGCACAGGGACTCACTTGGCAGGCTGAAGGCTTGCGTGCTTGTGCATGGAGGGAAAGGGGTGTCTGTGGTGTACTCCGGGTCCCTGCTCATCTCCTCTTCCCCAGTCCAGCCCACGCCATCTCCTGGGTGTGGCTCATAGCCTCCTCTCCTCTCCTCTCCTCTCTTCTCCCTCCATCTTGCTGGAAAAGCTCCCTCTTCACCATCTGCTCCCTAACCCCAGTTGCCCTGAGGGCTCCTGCTGCCAGGGGACCCTTTCCATAGTGATTTCAGTCCTATGTGATTGGTCACTTCCTTCCAGGGGTCTCATGGACATAAGTTCTGCCTCACAGCTGTTCTCAAGGGGTGGCCAGCTTCCCTAAAGAGAGAATGAGGACCCTGAGGTCAGGGACCTGCATGAGAACCCAGTTTTGTCATTTCCTAGTTGGGTGACGAGTCACTTCACTTATGGAGGACAGAGCCAGTTTCCTCTTCTGCAAAATGCAGAAGCAACACCATCCCTCATTTGTGAGGCTATAACTGGGTTTAACCAGACAGCGCTTCTGAGAGAGCACAGGATTGGCAAACATCTAAACACCACTGAGATGGTCAAAGCCCCCAACACTTGCACAGGTAGAGGTCACTGAAGCCCAGAGGGGGCACATGACCAGCCCAAGGTTATAGTCTGAGAAAAAAACATCGAATTAGATCATAATGTGTCAAGGATGATAGTGGCTCACACCTAGCATCCCAACACTTTGGGAGGCTGAGGTGGGAGAATCGCCTGAAGCCAGGAGTTGGAGACTAGCCTGGGTAACGAAGTGAGACCCATGTTTTTCTAAAGCCAAATGGAAACAAAAGAGGATTTAAAATGAAGTCATTTGGGAGTCTGACCAAAAACTGACCTAAGGCGAATGGACAGGGGAGAGAACGAGAGGCTAAGGGACGCATCAAAGGAAGAAGCAGATGCCGTGCGGCTCTCTGGGACCAGATGGAAAAAGCCAGAATGAATTCCCCAGGAAGCCGAGTGTGGCCAACCTCAAGGGCACTCTCCTTTCCTGTGTCTGATACTCTCGAGTCTGGAGTACAGACATTCTGAGGTCCACCCCACCCCTGCCCTGTTTCAGGCTCTCACTAGTGTTTGAATGGGGAAATATGCTTCGTCATGACTCAGCATAATCAGAGATCACAACAAATGCCCAGTATGTCTGCCCTGGGCCAGGAATGGTCTAGGTGGCTGAGTAGGGATGAGGGAGGATTCACAGTCTAGGGTTAGAGAGGCCTAGGTGACTTAGGGACCTCCCTATCCAGGGCCATCTTGTGGCTCCCACTCCTGTGAAAAGTCAGTTTATATGTAAATAATTCCAAAGCTATCTTAAGAACATAAAAGGCCAGGCTGGGGAACTAAGCCCATGAGAAACTCTAGGGCTAGCAATGGGAGAAGAAAGTGTTAGAATCTCACCTGTCCTTATCAGATTCTAGAATTATGCCTTATCTCATTTGCAAATTGTGTCTCTAGACCTGCAGGAACCCAGACTCTTCCTCAGCCAGTCTCCATTCTCCCAGCTTGGGCCAGTCCCCAAGACAGAGGCTTACATTTATGGAACACTGAATCTGTGCTAGGCACTATGCTAAGAGCTTTGTATGTGCCCTCCCTCTTAATTCCTCACAAGAGGAGGAGATTGTACCCACTGTACAGACAAAGAAACTGAGCTGAGAGGCTAAGCGACTTGCCCAATTCTCCAGCAGGAAGGCACGGGATTCAGAATCTGACAGCCTGAGTTCTAGCCCTGCCTCTCTCGAGTTCTCTAAAGGGGTCTGTTTATCTCTACAAAGAGGAAATTGAACATAATTTACTTTGAATCCTGGGTATGTGGATTCCTAGCAGATTCCTGGATAAACTTTTTAAGGTTTTGTCAAACCCTTGGAATAGTTAAGAAAATACATATTTTTCTTTTTCTTTAGAAAAATCAGTTTCTTTAATGGGTCTCTAACTTGAAATAAATGGGATGGTTTATGGGTCAGAGGAAAAGGGTGGTGAGGAGAGTGACGTGCTTACCATCCACTCTGCACCAGGCCCTGCTCCTCGCACTCACCGGGCACTAAAACCCAGGGAGAGTAGTTCCCCTGACCCTATACGGTTCTGAGTGAATAAGACATTTGTCTCTGGTCACGGCTTGCGAAGGTGGAGCTGGGCTCAAAATCCAGCCCTGCAGGATTAGATCAAGTTTTGGGGATGAAAGTGCTCTAGTCGGTTTGAAATAATGATGAGTTACCACCTAGGTTCACGCATTAGCTACCTTTCCACTCTCCTCCCTTAGGGCAGGTGGGGAGCAAATGAGAGCTGAAAAAGTGAACTTCCAGGTATACAGACAAGGGGCCTCATGGTGACATCAGTGGAACAGGGCAGGTGGAGAAGCTGGTCACAGGCCAGCTCCTTCCAGAGGGACTTTATTCTTAGCTCATAGGATGGTAGATACCCGAAACATTCAACGTACACACACTAGAGACAACATTCGCTGTGGAGTAACTGACAGGGTTGCTCCCGAGCTCGGGGAGGCTAATACAGTGAGGGCTCAGAGGGAAATGAGGCATCATCAGCCCCCCTGAGAAACAACAGGACTTCCCAAGCCTCTGTTGAATGCTCTGTTCCCATGATATGGAATGAGAACATGGGCTGTGGCATCAGACAGACCTGGGTACGAGTCTCAGCTCTGTCCCTGACTAGCTGTGTGACCTCAGGCAAGTTCCTCAACCTCGCTGAGCCTCAGTCTGTTCCTCTGTGAAATGTATACTCATCCCTTCCTGCAGGGGCCATGAGGGCAGAGGTCACCCATGGGAAACACTGAGCAGGGTTCTGGTGTGAGTTCCATGTTGCCCTCTCTGGGACAGTCTAGAAGAGAGGCTGCCTGGTAGCACTGTATAGTCGCTCACTAACTGTTTGCTGAGCAGGTAGATACTGAGCTGCTGTTTTGTCTGTTTTTCAGAGTGACCCACTGACCCCCATTCTCTGACCACGGCCAGTGCTGGGGGAGGCCTTTCCCCAGGAACTCAGACACTACCAGGGACCCCGGATCTCAATGAACAGCCCCAAATCACAGCTCTGCTCCCTACACGAGCAGCGCCAGGGGAGGCAAGAGCCCTGGTGTGGACACTGACTGCACGGTTTGGAACCCCACTCACCACCACCAAGCTGCATGGCACTAGGCTCGTCACTTCCTCATCCGAGCACCCCTTAGAAAGGGCTGTGCAGACTATGCAATGCGATACTGGTGAAGATATCCACAACACAGCAGGTGCCTAACCAGCACCCAGCACTTCCTGGCCCGGCTCCCTATAGTTCCCAGTGTTTCTAGAGTGCCGGGTCCCTAGATTTCAAATCCTAGAGTCAGCAAACCCCTCTCCTCTGCCCCCATACCTTGGTGGCAGTTCCTCTTTGATCCCACCTCTGGGTATCTGTCCAAACCTCTCTCCTGTCCCCGTTCCTGCCACTTAATCACCTCCCGTCTTAACCTGGCTTCTAGCTCCCAGTTCCCAGTCCATCCGACTGGCTCACACCCCATTCACTGTGACCGACACCCATCTCCCTGTGCCACACTGCAGCACCAGAACCTCCCATGGCACCCTGCTGGCACCCCAGCCAGGCCAAGCCTACCCTACACCCCTGACACGCTGAGTTAGAGCAGAGCACACATGTGGGAGGCAGCAGGAGGGAGGCTTCCTGGAGGAGTGTGGCTGAGCTGGGAACTGTAAGGCAATGGGAACATGTTAAGGGAGCAGAGGCTGGGGGCAGGCACTCTAGGAAAGGAGGCAGACCACAGACAAGAAAGCACACAGGAGGGTGAGGCTGTGGTGTGAGCTGGGCAGGAGTGACCGGGGTGGTGGAGAGCTTCCCCAGTCTCATCCGAGCTGGTTCTGACAACTTGTGCTGCTTGGGCCTGCAGAATCCACGCTCAGACCACACTGAGCCCTGAGCAGCGATACTGTGGAGTTGCCTTAAGGACACGTGAGCCAGACCTCTATTTACCTATTCTGATGATATCGTGGGGGCTGCCTTGTGCTTCCTCTCCGACGATGTTGTCTTCTTCCTGCGCTAGAATCATGGGATGTACCTTGTCTCTCAGAGGCCCTGCTGGGCTGGAATCAGAGGCAGCTCGTGGTCTCCTCACCACGTCCAAATCCCCATCCTCGTCCAGTTGAGCTTCAGCCACTTCCTGGCCAGTGGTGTCAGCCCCGGCCTGGAGGGAGAAACCCTCGTTACCGTGGCCACTTCCTGGCAGGGACCCTGTGCCGCTCGTCTCAGCAGAAGGAGGCTCCTTTGTGTGAATATCTCTGTGATCGCCACCCTTGGCCCCTGAGTCTGTCCAAGAATCTTGGCTCCAGAGAAGCTTGAATTGGGAGAGGAAAACTGAAAGGCAAGACAAAAAGCAAAATGAGAATTCCAAGGTGTTTTCTTTTTTTTCTTCCTCTTCTGTTTTGAGAACATCTGATTACCAACATGGAAGATTTTAAAGGCCAGGTAGAGATATATTAATGACAGCAGAAAAGGCCCAGATGATTCAGCTGCGACCACCATCAACAGCAGCCACCATTTCATGAGAATCTATGAGGCACTTGGCTCACATCATCTCATTCAATCTGTGAAGACAACTGCTGTGAAGACAGTGTTATCAGCGTCATCTTACAGACCCACAAACTGAAGCTTAGAGAAACGAGCTGATCAAGGCAACACAACTTTCAGGACTGAGCTCAGGGGCCTCTCCTCTAACCTCCCACAGCATCCTGGGCTTATGCCAGTGTTTGGATCTGTCCAATCATCCATCCACCCATCCACATCCATCCACTCATCCATTGATCACTGAACACTGACTGCGTGCCAAGTACCATGCTAGGTGCTGGGGGTACAAAGCAGAATCTGATTATGTCAGGGGCTTACATTTTAGGAGTGAAGTTGGAGAACAAACATTAAACAAGATCATTACACCACACTGTGTTAACTGCCAGGAATACAGGAAAACTGCATTCTGTGTGACAAAGATATGGCAACCATGTAAGGCAGGGGTAAGCAAACTGTTCCTGTAACAGATTAGATGAAAAACTTTGTGGCTGGGCACGATGGCTCGCACCCGTAATTCCAGCATTTTGGGAAGCCAAGACAGGTGGATTTCTTGAGCCCAGGAATTTGAGACCAGCCTGGGCAACATGGTGAAAACCCCTTCTCTACAAAAAAATTATCCGGGTGTGGTGGCATGTGCCTATAGTCCCAGCTGCTCAGGAGGCTGAGGTGGGAGCATCACCCAAGCCTGGGGACGTTGAGGCTGTAGTGAGTCAAGACCGCACCACTGCACTCCAGCTCGGGTGACAGAATAAGACCCTGTCTCATAAAATATACCCAGTTTTAAGCTTTGCGGGCCCTGTGATCTTTGTTGTGACTCTTCAACTCTGCCGTTATAGCACAAAAGCAGCTATAAAAACACGGAAATGAATGGGCATGGCTGTGGCGTCATAAAACTTTATAAAAATAGCTGTAGGCCAGATTTGGCCCACAGGCTGTAGTTTACAGACCTCTGGTATAATGTACCATCCAAATTAGGGCAGGAGGGCAATGGGAATGATTAATCATCAGACCATAACAAGCTAATACAGGGTAACTGGAGCTAGGGAGGGTGGCCAGGGAGGGGCTGTCTGTGCAGATGATACTTGAGGAGCCAGGGAGGGGAGGAAAGTAGGTGCTTCCTCCCTGACCTTGTATCTTATGGTTGCTTCCCTCTTCTCCCTGTGTTCGAGGGACAGAAAAAAGCTGAGTGGCCAAGAAGAGCAAGGGAGAGTGACATAAGGGTAGGCACACAGGCAGAGGCTTGTCAGGCTGGCCTCACAGACCAAGTTGAGGAACCTGGATGTTATTGTGAGAGCAATGGAAAGCCACTAGAGGTCTAACTCAGGACGTGCTGTGACTTGATCTGCATTTTCAAAAGATGCCCTTAGCCGCTGCAGCTAAGTGGGGAGGGTGTGCTGCAGTGAACTCAGTGGGAGAAGACAGGCAGCCAGACCAGGAACGGAGGTGGCTGGACTAGGGTGAAGGGAGTGGGGATAAAGAGCAGATGCCAGGGCCAGATGCCATGGCTCACGCCTGTAATCCCAGCACTTTGAGAGGCTGGGGTGGGTGGATTACCTGAGGTCAAAAGTTCAAAACCAGCCTGACCAACATGATGGAACCCTGTCTCTACTAAAAACACAAAAATTAGCTGGGTGTGGTGGCTGATGCCTGTAATCCCAGCTACTCAGGAGGCTGAGCCAGAAGAGTCGCTTGAACCCAGGAGGCAAAGGTTGCAGTGAGCCGAGATTGGGCCACTGCACTCCAGCCTGAGTGACAGAGTGAGATTCTGTCTCCAAAAAAAAAAAAAAAAAAAAAAAAGCAGAGAACAGATGGAGCCCCAGCACTCTGTCTCCCCACTGAACCCTGGGCTTGCTCAGGGAAAAGCTTGGCTCATTCATGTCTGCATTCCCAGCATCAAGTCCTAGGCCAGGCACACAGTAGGTGCTCAGGAAAGCACAGGAATTTGCTTAACGAAAGGGGGGTGGGCAGCAGTTCGCCTGTAATCCCAGGGACTCAAGAGGCTAAGGTGGGAGGGTTGCTTTAGGCCCGGAGTTCACAACCAGCCTGGTCAACACAGTAAGACTCCATCTCTACTAAATAAAACCCAGCCAGGTGTGGTGATGCGAGACTGTAGTCTCAGCTACTCTGGAGGCAGGGGAAGGAGGATCGCTTGAGTCCAGGAGTTTGAGGCTGCAGTGAGCCATGACTGTGCCACTGCACTCCAGACTGGGTGACGAGTGAGACTCTGTCTTTAAAAAAAAGCAAACAAAACAAAAGCAGAACAAACCCACACATACAAAAATTGCAGAGTACAAGGTTTTTTTAAAAATAATAAAGGAAAAAGCACTTCAGAAGCAGTCTGAGGATAACAGTTACATAATCCAGTCTTCCTGATATTTTCCCCAAAAAGATGGGTATGAGAAAACAGAAAACAGGATCTGCAGGGCACCTGGGCCCAGGACCTTACCTGGCTGCCCCACGCTGTTCAGCCGCACCATGAGGTGTCTATGATTTGGGGTGTAGAGGTGGACGTCTGACAGCACAGTATCACTTCTAAAGGTGACTTCGTCCATGGCTGCAGCAGGAGCCAGCTGCACCATGGCCCAGGCTCCACCTTAGTCCTGGGACAGGAGCCCCTCCGAGGTGAGAGCAGGTTCTCAGTATGGCAGGTCCCAGAGGAAACAGTGCAGACAGGTCCAAGCTGGTAGACAGTCAGTAGCTTTGCATCACCCTGGGAGGAGGTCTCAGAGACTTGGCCAGGGAAGAGAATCCAGCTAGAATTGAATTGCGTTGTTTAATATATTCACTTTCATAGTAACCTTTTATTTATAGCAAGAGATATAAATTTCCATTTGTAGGGATAAAGTTTCTCATTTTTTTTTCCAACTTTTTTATTAAAATTTCAAACAGTAAGAATATAGGGGAATATCATAACCATATAAATACTGCTTAGATTCAACGATCGTCAGCATTTTGCCACATGTGCCTGCCCTCTCTGGTTTCTTCTCGAGCTAAGAGTACACTGCAGACATCATGACATTTTGCCCCTAAATTCTTCAATGTCTGTCCCCTAAGAGCATTTCCCTATATAACCATAAGACCATTAGCAAATGTAAGATAATTAATAATTCCCGAATAGCATTTAAAGTCAATTTCCTCAAAGTCCTTGAGGTTATTCCCCTCAAAGCAGTATCCAATAACAATTTACGCTTTACATTTAGTCATTAAGGCCCTTTACTCTTTCTTTTTAATTCTAGAAGCTGTTATAAACTGCTCCTGTATCATTTGTTGTTATAAAGCTTTCCTATTTTAAACGTTTTAACAATTTCTTTGGATGGGTGAGGTGGCTCACGCCTGTAATCCCAGCACTTTGGGAGGCTGAGGCGGGCAGATCACGAGGTTAGGAGATCAAGACCATCCTGGCTAACATGGTGAAACCTTGTCTCTATCAAAAATACAAAAAATTAGCCAGGTGTGGTGGCATGCGCCTGTAGTCTCAGCTACTCGGGAGGCTGCGGCAGGAGAATCGCTTGAACCCGGGAGGCAGAGGTTGCAGTGAGCCAAGACTGCACCACTACACTCTAGCCTGGGTGACACAGTGAGACTTCACCTCAAAAAAAAAAAAAAAAAAAAATTCTTTTTAGAGACAGGATCTTGCTCTGTTGCCTAGGTTGTAGTGCAGTGGTATAGGCATGGCTCACTACAGCCTCAAAATCCTGGGCTCATGAGAGCCTCCTGCCTCAACCTCCCTAGTAGTTAGGACTACAGCTATACCACCATGCTTGGCATTAAAAATTTCTTTTTGTAGAGGTGAGGGTCTCACTACGTTTCCCAGGCTGGTCTCAAATTCCTGGGCTCAAGCGATCCTCCCACCTCAGCTTCCCAAAGTGCTGGGATTATAGACATGAGCCACCATGCCTGGCCTAAAGCTTTGCTACTGAATTTAAAAAGGTGAGTGGAATTAGCCAGGCGTGGTGGTGCACACTTGTACTCCCAGTTACTTTGGGAGCTGAGGTGGGAGGATTGCTCGAGCCCTAAAGGCGGAGGTTGCAGTGAGCTGAGAATGCCCCACTGCACTCTGCACTCCAGCCTGGGTGACAAAGCAAGACCCCATCTAAAAAAAAAAAAAAAAAATTGAACAAAAAAAAGGTGAATGGATATAAAGGAAAAGCAATTAAGGGGATCACTATACAGATGATATGCAGATATGGAAAAATTATGCAGGTGATATAGCAATAACTAAAACTTGGAAAACCATGGCTGAGGCAAAGTGGTCAAAAACAGGGAGGATCTCCCTCCAACCAAATGTTTCATCTCATTGAAAAGCATCAACAAATAGCAGTATTCTGATGGGCTTTGAAGCTGGACAGCCCACATGGGGATCCCTGGTCTCTCGCCTTCTAGCTATGTAATCTCAGGAAAATCACATCACTTTTCTGCATCTGTTTCTTCAACCACACTCTCATGCAGTCGTACTACTGGGTGGGAGAGTCCTTGGTCTATAGTAGGTGTTAATAAAACACCAGCAAACTTCTTGTCCTGGGGTTGGTTTCAGGTATTTGACCCAAACCTGCCCATAACCCCTGACTGCCTGCAGGAACTGTTCCTACTGGGGTAGGTATATCCCCTAGGCATGATCTTGCAGGGTCCCCATTTCTTCAACTGCAAAACGAGGTCATCATGACTCAGGCTGTCCCAATGATCCCAGTACACGGCTGGAGTTCCTATATTTAAGTGTTTGCCATGGGGCAGCAAAAGTTGTTCCAACACAAAAAGTTTTAGGAGAAAGATGATTCCTAATGCTGGCTTTCCTACTCAACACTATAAAGCCATCAAAATGCAAGTGGGTTGTAAAGAAAGTCTGTGAAGCTGGCAAATAAGTGCAGAATTTCATGGTGTCATCGAAAGTGGAGAAATGCTTGACCTTCAGGCAAACACTCTTCATCAATGAGACTGGCAAAACCACACCAGATTCTGGAAGAGAAAATACAGCTTATACCTACCACTCATTTCAAAGGCAGATCAAGCTTTCTCAGGACTTAGAGATGTCCTGGGGGAAAACTGGGGACTTTCACACATAGTTTTGGGGGAAAAAAAGATCCTCTCTAACATTGCTGTGAAAATCAAAGCAAACCAAAGGATGCCATTTTTTTTTTCCTATAGTGCATTTTCTTTCTTTCTTTTTTTTTTTTTTGAGATACAGTCTCACTCTGTTGCCCAGGCTAGAGTGCAGTAGCGCCGTCTTGGCCCATTCCAACCTCTGCCTCCTGGGCTGAAGCGATCCTACCTCAGTGTCCTGAGTAGTTGAGACTGCAAGCACACGCCACCCTGCCCAGACAATTCTATATTATTAGTAGAGACAGGATTTTGCCACGTTGGCCAGACTAGTTTCAAACTCCTGATCTCAAGGTGATCCACCCACTCTGGCTTCCCAAAGTACTGAGATTACAGGTGTTAACCACTGTGCGTGGCCTACAGTGCAATCTTGTTGGAAAACTTATATCCCAGAAAAATCAGTGTTCTTTGCTTTTTCCAAAAGCAAGCGTAATATTACACACCAAATTTTCTTAACTATAGACAAAAAGAAAACTCAAATTCTTAATCTCTAGTTGAATTTTCCATTTTTAAATTCAATCCAACCAGGCTTCCCAAGAAATGTATGCTGCAGGTAAGTCCCAGGTGAACGAGATTCCCTTTAAGGGACTTACCGCAGAATCAGCTATCTGGGAATAAGGAGGCTCTCTTGAACCTATCTCAGGGCCTGTATGAGGAGTAAATGAGACAATGATCACTTTTAGGGCTCACGACATCTAGTAAACGTTTAATAAGCAACGATAGTAATTATAGCAATATAATAATTATTAAAGTGAATGCTGGGAAGAAAAAGAAAAGGTAACAGTTTCTCTAGTCAGGAAGCCTCCCTCCGGGAATGCAGGGTATGTATGGGTTTCGGGCTCCTCTCTTCACCGGGCAGAGCTGAGAAAGGAGACCCAGGTTGCGGATGGGGACCCGCCCCGCCACCCTCCATAGGGCTGCAGGCTCATCCCCGCAGCAGGAGCTAACGTGTTCTTGGCTCTTCTAAGGCTGTGGGGGCTAGACTGAGACGCTGCCAGCCCTCCCCTCCTATAGGTCCCCAATCAGTTATCCCAAATAAGCAGTTTGCTGGGATCACTATGTTAAAATAACTTCCCTCCTCCTCTTTCTGCTAAGTGCAACTCACTCAACAATCTGGAATTTGGTACGACCCCATGACGATTTAGGGCCAAAAGCAGGGTAACGGAGGGCAGGGTGTGAAGGCCTGGGGTCGGGGTGGTAATGAGGGGGCCCGGCCACGGCGCGCAGAGTCGTAGTGAGGGGCTCCGGGACGTCCCCCGTGGGGCTTCTCGTCCTCATTCCCTTGTCGCCTTCCTAACGCCACCCTTGTGGGTTAACTGCTGCCCTCTCAAAAGGCAGTCACAGGTCAGACATTGCCCACCTTTCTTAATTCGGAACCGAAGGAGAGCTGCCTGGACCCAGGACGGGGAAACCCAGGTGAGGACGTGGACTTCTTCCCCCAACACCTGTGCTTAGAAGGGGAAACTGAGGCCAATAGTGGGGTCGGGCCTTAGGGATCTGGGCCTCAGATCCGTGGGAGCTCGGGTTTCAAAGTCAGGCTCGGCACCCAGAGGTTCCCTGCACCCTACCCTATCCCGCTGCCTCTTCCAGGGACTTACCAGCGCAGGGCCCAGCTTGGAGTCCCACCCGACCACCCTCTCGGTGGGACCTAGGCGGCCGCCATAACAGGGAGGTCTGCGCAGGCGCGGCCCCGCCCCCGCGTGCGTCCATCCTGCCGCAGCGCACCGTGGCTCCACCTAGTTGCCCGGGCCGCGTAAGCGTGCGGGGGTGTTGACGTACACCTGCAACCTTCGCTCTGGTCACTGGCGAGGCGTGTTTACTGGGGGGTGGGGGGCCCTCTGCACGTGCGTGGCCAATTCACTCCTCTAAAGGAGTTAAACAGGAATTAAATAACTCGCCCAGCTGCTAAGTGGTAAAGCCTGGATTCGAACCCGGGGTGTAGGATCCAGAGCCGGTACTGTTTAACCAGCATGCCAGCGACTGCATTTATTATCACTGGTGTTATTGTTATCCATGCTCTTAGTACTCGTTTATTATTTTTTCTTTTTTGTGTCTGTGTGACGGTCTTGCTCTGTTGTCTAGGCTGGAGTGCAGCGGTGTAATCATAGCTCAGTGCAGCCTTGAACTCCTGGGCTGAAGCGATCCTCCTGTTTCAGCCTCCCTAGTAGCTGGGACTACAGCTGCCTGCCACCATTTAAAAAAAATTTTGTAGAGATTGTGTTTTGCTATGCTGTCCAGGCTGGCCTCAAACTCCTAGCTTCAAGCAGTCCTCCAGCATTGGCCTCCCAAAGCTCTTAGATTACAGGCATGAGCCACCGCGCCCGGCCCTCTCTTTATTCTTAATAGGTGGTAGTGATTTCATTGAATTATATGCTCATCAAGTTTCCAACACCAGGGAGGTGAGACAAAATAGCCAACATAAGAATCCATGTTTGCTCCTTTTGGCCTTGCCTGCAGAATTTCACAAAGCCTCTGAGTCGGTGACTGAGCGCAGCCCTCCGAAGGATGCCCTGAAGAGGATGAGCAGGATAGACCACAGGCTCTCATGCCTCTTGCCTGAGTCACTGCATTTTTAGAAAAAGTAAAGTCAACGATCCTGGCCCTTTTCTCAACCTGTGTATTCCGGTGACAACGTGGAAGTCAGCCTAGCCACAGTGGAGCAACCCAGGGGATGGGCTGTAAGGAAGCGAGGATACAGATGTAGCCAGGGTTAGAACTTTTACGACATTGTAAGAACTTGGATTTTATTGTGCATGAAGTGGGGAGCTGCCAGGAATATACACCACACTGATGTGTTCACAGACATGGCCAGACACATGCAGTGGTGTCCACTCTCAGACATGTCAACATCGACACACAAATATAAACACAGGCACATGTGCAGAGTCCACATATGTAAAATCCATATGCCCGTATGCTCACGTATACACAGACACACACGGCCTCAGCTGGCATCCTTTTTCTAAATTACTTATTTTTTCTCTTTTCAAAACAGAAGTAAATCAACATCAATTTCATGGTTACTGATGATAAAACGTGGAGAGCTGGTAGGGTGACTAAGTGACACAAATAACCAGTTTTTTTTTTTTTTTTTTTAAAGAAACAGATTGTGTTTCCTGAAATCCCCCAGGACAGTACACAGAGAGCCAATTAGGTGTCTTGGGATCAGATTCTATTCCTAGTTTTCTCTCTAGTTCACTGAGGGTTCTCTCAGTTATCCCCAGAGGATGTTGGGAGGTGGTGAGGGCACTAGGAAGGCATTGTTCTTACACTTGGGAGTTTTGTCTTCAAATTTAAAGCAGGGAAAAGGATCCTTTAAAATCAAAAGTCAGATCATATCTCTCCTCTCATCAAACCTATAATCTTTTATAGGGGATTAGTGCCCCTACAAAAAGGCCCCAAAGAGCTGCCTCACTCCTTCTGTCACATGAGGACACAGCAAAAAGACAGCCGTCTATGATGAAGAATTCGACACAAAATCTGCCAGTGCTTTGATCTTGGGTTTTGCAGCCCCTAGAACCATGAGAAATGAATGTGTTTTATCAGCCTCCCCATGTATGATATTCTGCTATAGCAGCCCACATGGCCTCTGAGACTGACCCACAGAATTTAGGAACACGGAAAAGAATGATTATTAGTGCCACAAATTTTGAGGTGATTTTCAACACAGTAATGGGTCACCAGATAAGGGGAAAGAAAGCCAGCCCTTCTTGGTAGGCCTGTGAAGGGACGGTAGCTGGGGGAGTCGGGGAGAGGACCCTCTGTTCCTGAGCCTCCGTTATGAACAAGGCACACCGCTGGCCTCTTCATCTTGTGGTTTTCTTCATTCTCACACCCACTCAGAAGCTCAGAGAGGCGAAGTGCCTTGCTCAAAGTTACATAAACAGTGAGATGCAGACTCACTTTTTCTGTTCTTTTTTTTCTCTCCTTCCTTCCTTCCTTCCTTGCTTCCTTGCTGCCTTCCTTCCTTCCTCCCTCCCTCCTCCCTCCTCTCTCTCTTTCTTTCTTTGATGGAGTCTCCCTCTGTCACTCAGGCTGGAGTACAGTGACACCATCTCAGGTCACTGCAACCTCTGCCTCTTGGGGTCAAGCGATTCTCCTGTCTCGGCCTCCTGAGTAGCTGCGATTGCAGGCGCTCGCTACCACACCCGGCTAATTTTTGTATTTTTAGTAGAGACGGGGTTTCACCACGTTGGCCAGTCTGCTGTCAAACTCCTGACCTCCCATGATCCACCCCCTCCCTCGGTTTCCCAAAGTGCTGGATTACAGGCGTGAGCCACTGCACCCAGTCTCAGACTCACATATTCAAATGTCCCAGTAAGTCTGTTGGGTGAAGCCTTAGGGTTAAATGTCCTTCCTAGTGTCCCAGGCAGGTCTCCCCCAGACTTGACGAAGCAAGGGTTAAGGTGCACACTCTCACACACTGCAGTGTCCGTCACTCCCACCACCTGGACTGATGACAAACCTCGTCTGCAGTAGAGGGAAAGCAGATGAACTGCCAGATGTGTTATAAGAAACCAGCTTGCAGGAAATTGCTGTCAGGTGATTATTATTAGCCTGGTTATTCAGAACAGCCCTTTCTCCAAAGGTCGTGCATTTACCAAATGCTTGATGTTTTCCCTGTCAGCCCTAGAAAATTTTGTCCTCCTGGAGAGAGGGCTTGTCCCCCAGGACTGCTGAAAGCAGGTGATTATAATTCTGCCTCGGCCTCCCATCAGCTTATAACAGCAGTTGCTTTAAATACACAGCGGTCCCTGCTCTGGATTCTGGTTCTGTGTGCAGAGGCAGGAGATTGACCTTCAGGTGCACAGAGCTGAGTTCAAATCCCCAGCTCGGCCACTGATTCATTTTATTCATTCATTCAATACCTTATTTTGAAGAGCTTTTCATATGCTTGGTACTTGGGTAACTGCTTTATTTCTATGAAACTTAATTTCTTAGTGTCTTGAATACTGATAACACCTTTCTTGATGTGTTGTGAGAATGAGTGACGTGTCACCTGTGGAGAGTTCCAGGCAATAACTCTCTTCCATTTCTTGAGATAATCTGACAGTGTCTCTTATACTTTAAATAATATTATACTTATTATTTATATTTATAATATTATTTAAAGTATACTCTTATACTTTAAATATATTACTCACTCCACCAAGTCACATTGGTAGATGGAAAAAAGTTACAGTGCCATTCATACTGTATAAGATCAATTATGTAAAATAAAAAACTCGCAAAACATATGTTTTCTCAAGCTAGACAGAATGTGCTCTGTCCATACAATGGATTATTATGCAGCCATAAAATGGAATAAAGCAAAATAAACAAAAAAGTTTTTTTAAAAAATTAGCTGGGCATGATGGTACATGCCTGTGTTCCCAGTTACTTGAGAGGCGGAGGTGGGAGGATCACTAGAGCCCAGGAGGTTGAGGCTGCAGTGAGTGGTGTTTGTGTCACTGCACTCCAGCCTGGGTGACAGAGAGAGAGATCCTGTCTTAGAAAACAAAAACCAAACCAAAACAAAACAAAAGAAAGAAATATGGTCATTTTAGAGGCAGGTAGTGAAGGATCTTGCAATGAAATCATCCTGGATTTAGGGTGAGCCCTAAGTCCAATGACTGGTGTCCTCATCAAAAGAGGAGAATACACAGAGAGAAGAGGGCAACGTGGAGACAGACGCGGAGATTGGGGTGAGGCAGGTATGAGCCAAAGATCGCCCAGGATTGCCGGCAGCCTCCAGGCGGCAGGACAGAAGCACCGAACGGATTTTCCCTCAGAGCCTTTAGAAGGACCCAGCCTTGCTGATACTTTGATTTTGGATTTCTGGCCCCCAGAACTGTGCTGGAGGCCAGGCGTGGTGGCTCACGCCTGTAATCCTGGCACTTTGGGAGGCCGAGGCAGGCAGATCACGAGTTCAGGAGTTCGAGACCAGCCTGGCCAACATGGTGAAACACCGTCTCTACTAAAAATAGAAAAATTAGCTGGGTGTGGTGGCACGTGCCTGTAATTCCAGTTACTCAGAAGGCTGAGGCAGGGGAATGGCTAAATCTGGGAGGCAGAGGTTGCGGTGAGCTGAGATCATACCACTGCACTTCACCCTGGGCGACAGAGCAAGACTCCTTCTTGGAAAAAAACCAAAGCATTTAGAAACAGAAATAAAACATTTAAAAACAGAACCATATGGGAATACAATTCTGTTGTTTGAAGTCACCCAGTTTGTATTTAGTTAGGAGACTAATACAGGTTTTAGCTAATTTCTGCCTCAAGGTCTTTTCATTTGCATTCTTCTTGGCTCAGAAAGCCCTCTCACCCATTTCCACCTTCACAACTGGGTCCTTCTTATCCAACATAGCTGAAATTATTTTTATTTTATTTTTTGAGACAGTCTCACTCTGTCACCCAGGCTGGAGTGCAGTGGTGCTATCTCTGCTCACTGCAACCTCTACCTCCCAGGCTCTAGCAATTCTTCTGCCTCAGCCTCCTGAGTAGCTGGGATTATAGGCGCCCGCCGCCATGCCCGGCCAATGTTTGCATTTTTAATAGAAACAGGGTTTCGCCATGTTGGTGATGCTGGTCTTAGACTCCCGACCTCAGGTGATCTGCCCGCCTCAGCCTCCCAGAGGCTGGGATTACGGCATGTGAGCCACTGCACCCGCCTCACAGCTTAATCATCTGCTCAATTTGCCCTTCTCTGCCCATTCCTCATGTGTTGCCCCTACCATCTACCCAAGTAGCTCCCC